CTGCCCGAGGGTAAACGAGCGGAGAGCACAGCGTGCTTTCTTACGGTGCACGCAGCTCCCCCGCCGCTGTTAAAGCGAGTTTTCCCCTCACAAAGCATAGCCCTGAGAGCTGGAGGGCAGCACTCTAAACCGAGACTTCAGTGTACCTTGGGTCACCTGGCAGAAGGCTATGCCTCACCACCTCACGCCGGCTCCGCCACTTCACCCCGGCTCCGCCACTTCACCCTAGCGGGGATCTGCGCTCTGCACAGGCCCCGCGTTTCTGCTTTAGAGACAGCTTCTTGTGCAAAGGCTGCCTGCATCACCCTCCAGCACCACAGCGTTTGGAAGCCCAGCCCTTAACAGTAGTGAAGAACTTAAGAACAAGAAATGATTTTCAAGACTTTATTCTTGAATGGACAACTTCACTACAATTTCTTTCCCTTCCTGAGGGCCTGTGGAGCCATCACCTCCCCTCCCCAGTCCCAGATTGTTTGCAGAGTGCAGGGACCAAGGGGAACAGTGCAGCAGTGGTGGAGGATCAAGCTTTACAAAGACATCCCCATCGTGAATTCCAGCAGAAAGCCAGCTGGAGTGGTGCAATCTTTCTGTATGTGAAATGAACAGGACAGTTCTCTGGGACACAGCTTCCTCCTCCATCTCCGCTGGCTTTCTCTGCCCAGCACCAGCTACATGGAAGATGATCTGGGGCAAAATTTTCAAAGCATTCACATCTTTCCAACAAAGAATGCAGGCGCTTAGTCCCATGTCCACAGAGGCAGTAAGGCTCTTCAGTCACCTCCAGTTCAAGGGGACACCAGACACCTAGAAGCCATTGTGGACCTGGGCCTTAAATGCTTAATCTCATACAGCAGTGGATCGGAATTTGGAGTCCTAGGCACTTCTGTGCTTCTGAAAATTTTACCTCAATTAATCCTGGCCAGGGAAACCAAAGCCTTGAAGTTCCTAAATCTTAATTAAGGCAGAGTTCAAAATGGGTCTGTCCCACTTCTTCCCTAAAGTATGGTTTGTATCTTCATACCTTAGGGATAAAAACCTATCATTGCATTTGGAAGCATTGAAAAACTTCAAGAGGTTATGAAATCCGAACATCCTCATGGCAGTGATGGTGTTCACATTTGCCCATTCAGCAGTGAGCAGGGAGGGACTTGGCCCTGGCTGGCAACGTGGATTACAGCAAAACCTCGTAAAGTACAGTCAGCGAGGAAATAAGGTCCCTGCAGCACAGATTTGCCAGTCTGACTAGTCAAAACAAGCATTCAAGGCAGAAGAGAATTCTCATTTTACCAAAAAGACTAACCAGCACTCCAGTTTTGGATTCATTCTGTATTTAGAAAAAAGTCAAGAAAAAGTGATGGACAGAACTGTCCTAATTTTACACAGTGTACTCCAGAGGTTCAAGAGAAACAATTTTCTTTTTTTTTTTATTTTTTTCCTAATGTGTATCTCTGGATTAAATTCAGCACCCTTGCAGTAGCAAAGGCAGCATGTGAAACAGCTACTCTTAGCTTGATTCCAAGACCTGTGTGCAGACTTCTTTGCTCCTATTTAGGTTAGTAGGAAGCAAGAGTGCTCAGCCGGAAGAAGCAGCGC